TGTATGAAACATTGACTAAAGGAAACAAATACAGGACGTTCACATACACTCTGGTCTATGAGTTTCAGAAGGGCCTAGTTCCAACAAAAATTAGTTTTGTAATGCTTGGATCATACTATAGGTAAAATTACTATGACATAGAGTGTCGTATGTTTTGATGAGAGTGCAGCCTATGGAGCCACATTACCTGGGCTCAATCCTGGTTCTACTATTTACTCCTTGGGTACCTGGGCAAATTAGTTAAACTCTCCATGCTTCAGTTGCCTCATTTGTAAAATGGAGATCATAGTAAAGACTACATCTTAGATTTGTTGTAAAAAGTAAATGGGTTGGGGCTTCCCTGGTGGCTCAGTGGTTGAGAGTCCGCCTGCCGATGCAGGGGACATGAGTTTGTACCCTGGTCTGGGAAGATCCCACATGCCACGGAGCGGCTGGGCCCGTGAGCCATGGCCGCTGAGCCTGCGCGTCCGGAGCCTGTGCTCAGTAATGGGAGAGGCCACAACAGTGAGAGGCCCGCATACCGCAAAAAAAAAAAAAAAAAAAGTAAATGGGTTAATACAGGTAAAGTGCTTAAGAAAGGGGGAATAACTCTTTCATCCTGGCTTAGCCCATTATTCAAGGCTGACTGCTAAGCTATTAGCTAAGCAATTAGATCCAGATCTTGATAGTTGCTCTATTTTTTTCCTTCCAGACCATATTGGTTCACTTTCCTTTGATAAGTTTGCCTAAAGCCAAGGAACAATCCATCTGCCACTTAAACAAGAACAGATTTATTGCTTTTAACTTAAAAAACAAAAAATGTCTGTAAAGGTGAACTCCATCTTTGTGGGCCTCATCTACATGCCTCCTTCTAGCCCTGACTGGGTGGCTGTCAGACTCAGAGGCTGTGCTCTAAAGGGGAGGTAACAAAAGGATCAGTAGTCACTGACCCAGTGACTCTAATACTTTCTTTGCTTCACCGTGTTTTATATTGGCTGAAGAATGGGAAGGCTCCCAGCCATTCATTCATTGGTCAGTCTAAGTGTGTGCTGTAGTAGCTTCTTCATTCTTCTCTTCAAGCAAAGAGAGGAAGGTGAGGGCAGCTCTAGGCCTGATTGGAACCACTGGGGAGCTTCTGGCATTGGTTAGTGCTCTGCTACATGGTTGGCTTGGGGAGTAGATAATTCAGACTACCCAACAATTGGGGACTTAGAGGAACAATAGGTCCTGGTTACTATCCTTTTGCTAAGATATTTCTTTCATTTTTCTTTGTACTAACTCATTAGGACCCAAGCTGTTTTCTGTGATTATAACCTACTCAACTTTAAAAATTTAATGTAGTTCTATTTAATTTTTAAAATACATAATATGTTCAAATACTTAAAAATTCAAAGGGTACAATGAAGCACTCCAGTTTCCATTCTCAAAGCCAGTTAATATCATCACCTCTTTGTTCTCTTCCAAAGATACTCGATGCATATACAATCAATAACACATGTGCATATGTACATGATTTTACATCTGTCATACCTACCAATCAATATCAGCAGTCATCCCATTTCAGTACATGAGGAGCTTCCTCATTTCGTTATTCATATTGACTGTCTAATATTTCATTGCTTCGTTGTATCATTTCCTTTAACCAGCCCCTGTTGATGGACTTTTAGGTTGTTTTCAATCCTTTCCATTACAATGTTCTTATAACAACCTTGTATATATGAAATTTTGTACATGTATGAATGAATATATCAGTAAGATTAAAGCCTAGTAGTTGACTTGCTGGGTTAATGAACGTTTTTTGTAGATTTTGTACTGCCAAAGTGCTCTTCACAAAGGTTGCATCAATTTATACTGCCACCAACATTATGTGAGAGGGCCTGTTTCCCCAGATCCTTCTGAGAATGTGTCACCAAATGTGTCGATCTTTGCCAATCTGATAGGTAAAAAATAGCATCTCAAAAAAATAGTATTGTCCAAGTTTAAGTTGGCATTTTTAAAAAAGTGAGGCTGAACATCTTTTCATATGTTTAAGAGCCTTTGGTGTTCCCTTTTCTGTGAACTATCTGTGTACACCTTTTGCCCAAATTTCTATTGGGTTATTGGTCTTTTCGTATGGATTTCATAGGAGTTCTTTATGTGTGGGATAAATTAGCCTTTGTCTATGATTTAAGCTGCAAATATTATTCTGAGTGTAGGTTTTGACTTTGCTTATTTTTTCCCATGGAAACTTTTTTATTCGAAAATAATAGAATTTATCAATTTTTTCTTTTATCTGGGCTTTTTATTTTTTCTTTTCTTTTTTTTTTCATGCTTAGGGAGGATTTCCCCATGTGAAGATTATTAAAAATTATCCTGTGGTTTCTTCTCATACCTCTGTGGTTTTGTTGTTCACATTTAAAAGTCTTTGACCACTATGGAATTTATTTTGGTGTAAAGTGTGAGATGTTGGGGTAATTTTTTTCTAGTTGCTCTAACACCTTTTTGTGATAATCTGTCTTTCCCCAATAGTTTTAAATTCTACCTTTATGATATAATAAGGGTTCATGTACGAATTTTGGGTCTATTCCTGGACTTCATAGTATTTCCTGTTCATCTGTCAATCTGTTCATGCATACTTATCATACTGTTAATTATTGGCACTTTATAATATGCTTTAATATCTGAGAAAGCTAATCGATGCTTATTACTTTTCATTTTCAGAATTTTCTTTTCCTATATTATATTTCATGAGTATGAAATATTTTAACATATTACTATTAAAATATGTTTATATTGCTTCAAAAATCCTTTTGTACTTTTATATTATGGCTTAGTTTAAGAAGATTTGGTATCTTTATTTTTGATGTATTGCTGATTTACAATGATGTGTTAGTTTCATGTGTACAGCAAAGTGATTCAGATATATTTACATACATTCTTTTTCAGATCCTTTTCCATTATAGGTTATTATATTAAATATAACTCCCCATGCTATACAGTAGGTCCTTGTTATTTATCTATTTTATATATGGCAGTGTGTATCAGTTAACCCCAAACTCTCAATTTATCCATCTACTCCCACTTTAGCAACATAAGTTTGTTTTCTATGTCTGTGAGTCTATTTCTATTTTGTAAATAAGTTTATGTGTATCATTTTTTTAGATTCTACATACAAGTGATATCACATGATATTTGTCTTTGTCTGACTTACTTCACTTAGTATGATAAGAAGATTTGGTATCTTGATGATAAAGATATCATGTGTGTCTTCCTGTCTAGCAGTATCTTATGCCAAAGAGCAACATGGATGTACTGTTCTGGGAGCTTTTAACAAAAATGACAAGCTTTCGTATGCATTATGTGCCAAGGTTCTAAAGTGGACCTTGTACAAGTGCACCAGTAATTTTTACTTTAGGACATTTTGACTCTCTGTGTTATGGTTATATCTCTAAAGTTAATAGTAAGCATTTTAAATTTAAATATATATATTAAGGACCTTAAAAATTCATATTCTAGTAGTGTTCCAAAGCAAGAAAATAGAGATATATAGAAATGTTATGTGCAAGGATGCTTACTATAGTATTTTTTATAACAACAAAAGTTGAAAATGATGTAGATGTACACCAGTGGAGGCTTGATTAAATTATGGAAATCTTTATCTTAAAATACCATTCACTGAGTCAAAATTTTTCTTTTCATAAATATTTATTACCATAAAAATTCCAGTTATACTTTTAAATGAAAAAGCAAGAAACCAAAGTATAATTAGCATGTTTCTAATTTTTCTTTTTTTTTTGGTACGTGGGCCTCTCACTGTTGTGGCCTCTCCCGTTGTGGAGCACAGGTTCCGGATGCGCAGGCTCAGCGGCCATGGCTCACGGGCCCAGACGCTCCGCGGCATGTGGGATCCTCCCGGACCGGGGCACGAACCCGCGTCCCCTGCATCGGCAGGCGGACTCCCAACCACTGCGCCACCAGGGAAGCCCTGTTTTTTTAAAAATAAATTTATTTATTTATTTTTGGCTGCGTTGGGTCTTCGTTGCTGCAAGCGGGCTTTCTCTAGTTGTGGCGAGGGGTAGGTACTCTTTGTTGTGGTGCGCAGCCTTCTCATTGTGGTGGCTTCTCTTGTTGCAGAGCACAGGCTCTAGGCACGCAGGCTTCAGTAGTTGTGCCTCATGGGCTCAAGAGCGCAGGCTCAGTAGTTGTGGCACATGGGCTTAGTTGCTCTGCGGCATCTTCCCTGACCGGGGCTCGAGCCCGTGTCCCCTACCTTGGCAGGCGGATTCTTAACCGCTGTGCTGCCAGGGAAGCTCTCTAATTTGTTTTTAAAAGTTGAATGTGTACATATTATGTATTCTTTGAAAAAAGACAGGAAGGCAGTAAACCAAAATGTTAGCATTAGCCAGCTACAGGGTTGGATTGTGCATAATTTTAATTTTTTTTTGTTTTGTTGTATTTCCCCCTTTTCTACAAGAAGCAGTATTATTTTATAATAATGTAATTCTTAATGAAATCCTTAACAATTAGCTTTCATAACAAGGTTGTGTTTGAATAACAGGCATAGGAAGTGTATCAATGGTTGAAAAATATTTTCTGAAATCAGAGCAGCCTATAAATGCTGAATGATCCTCCACTTTATGACATAGTCACCTTCCTGAAAGAACTCTTACTGGAATCATGGTTCCACTACTGAGTACCTGATATATAAAAATATAGCTTTAAAAATGGTGGCTTAGGACTCCCCTGGTGGCGCAGTGGTTAAGAATCTGCCTGCCAATGCGGGGGACACCGGTTTGAGCCCAGGTCCGGGAAGATCCCGCATGCCGTGGAGCAACTAAGCCCATGCGCCACAACTACTGAGCCTGCGCTCTTGAGCCCGTGTGCCACAACTACTGAGCCTGCACGCCATGACTACTGAAGCCCGTGCGCCTAGAGCCTGTACTCTGCAACAAGAGAAGCCACCACTCACTGCAACTAGAAAAAGCCTGCACGCAGCAACGAAGACCCAATGCAGCCAAAAATAAATAAATAGATAAATTTATTTTAAAAAATGGTGGCTTATAGAAAAAATGTTTAAGAAACACAATAGTAAAATTAAATGTGCAAAATTAGAATGAAAAGGGATATTGGACAATTTTATTATTTGCCAGTAGCTTGACTGCACACTTTTTGTAAAACAAAACAAAATAACAATGATAGAGAAATCAACAATTTTACTGTCAAAAAAAAGTCTTAACCATTTATAAATTAGCGAGAAGAAAAAGAGGCTAATTACATGATTGTGATGTGGATCATGAGCAGGTGAGGACGCCAACATATGTTTGCCCTGTTTTTACTGCCACTGAAATTCCTATTTCACATACAGCAGCACCTGCTTCCCATAGCGTGTTTATATGTTCTCAGGGTGAGTGTTGTCAACTGTCTGCTGCTAATCCTGTATTTCGTTTACTATCCTCAGACACAAGGAAACATGGAAACTTACTTGAACTCAATCCTAAGAAATGAACATTTCTTTTCAGTTGGTTCTATTCAAAATATTTATGGAATGCATTTTCCTTTTATCCCAAAAGTATCTTTTTGCTGAGTTTTTAAATGTTATTCCTGAATTTTCTAAGAACTTCACCTTGTAAGACACATAGATTTTTTTATGGAGTCTTGAGTAATTACTGTGAGCTGAAATTTTGTTGACACATTAGTGTAAATTTTAATCAATGAAAGAACATCAAGGTTTAAAATGAGAGAAGATTTACAGCAGCAACCCTTTGGGGGTTGGGGAAAATAAAAATTTTCTTTAAATACATGTGGTTTTTATTCAGTGCTGAGCCTTGTCAGGCCTTCCCAGATGAGATTTTTGTAATCAAATGTTTTTCTAGGAAATGATGATTTTTCTGAGGTTGAGAAATAGGACTCGGTTCTCAATTGTTGAAGTATAGAATTATTTCCACCCTCACCTACACCTTCATTCAGAATCTTTTATTGAGCACATACTATGCATTACACATTGTGCAAGAGGCTAAAGATACAAAGATAAATGAGACATGATCCCTGCTCCCAGGACGGTTCAGATGAGTGACGGGCACAAGCCAGGTAAGAGTATGGTCATAGTAACAGAGTAAACTCCATTTACCGGGTAGTGTGAAGGACGGAAGAGGAGCACTTGGACTCCGAATAACCACCTAGAAATTTCACCCAGTGAGTGGCATTCTCAGTGGAATGGGGTAATAATGCTGCTGCTGATTGATAGCAAAGACAACAGTGATAACAGGGCCAGACATTGTGCTCAACACTTTATATATACATTATCTGTTTAGGCTTTGCCATAGTTCAAAGAAGTAAGTGATACAATAATTTCCTTTTACAAATGAGGAAACAGGATGCAGAGTCTAGATACAAACCTGGGTCCATCTGATTTAGAGCCCAAGCCCTTAAAAAAGTTTGGGCTTTGAAATTCTGCATACTGGATTTGAATTCTGCACTAAACCTTCTAGCTGAGTATTAATTGGTAAATTACTTCACCTCTTTAAGCTTCCTTTCCTCCTTTGTAAAATGGCGATAATAATAACACCTGTGAACAATGCTGTCTGCTTCCTACCTGACAGCTACCTCTCCTTCCTTCCTTCCATGCCGATAGAGCTCACCTCCAATTATTAAGCCTGAAAATTCCAGATGCTTATGTTCTCAGTTGCCCTTGTAACCACGGCCTGGACACATGACCGAGTCTTGGCCTATGGGACCTGAGGGGGAAATCAATGGGAGGAACATTTCATCTCTAATAAAAATTAATGCTAGGAATCTACTTTCATTTCCTGCGGTGTGAAGCCCAATACTACTCTAGCCAGCTTGCAATCCAAAAGAGCCGCCATGGACGCACTGAGGACAGCTTCTGGATGGCGGTAAGCAGAGGAGTCTGTGTTAACATCATGGAGCTATGTGGACAGCGCATTTTCTTCCTTATTTAAACCACTTTTAATTGGACATCTGTGACTCCAAATTTATTGAGTTTTAGGTGAGCTAAGCTGTATAAAGCACTTAGTATAATACCTGCATAGAGTAAGTGCTCAAGATAGAGGGTCTTATAATCTTCTTGGTCAAAGTTATCTAAAAAGTATGTAGCTTTTGATCATTAGTAAGATATGGAGTTTTCTCTCTTTTTTAATAATATTTCTAGATCGACCAAATCTAAGCTTATAAGTAATATATAAACAAAATCATTGATGCTATTTGACTTCTCAAGGGATTAAGCATAGTGCAAAGTAAGAACTAGGTGAGTTGGCACAGAGCATTGAACTATTAGATGAGCTGCTGGGTCAATCACTAATTGCTTTCCATATCCATTCTAAAACTTGCATTAAAGGATTATAGACATCCTCATGAAGAGGCTTTTGTCTTTTTAAATTAAAATAACGTACAATTGACCATCAAGGATGCACCTGGACCTCCACTTTCCACCACGTGACGATACTAGGAGAAGTCATCAGTCTGCGACCTGGAAGAGGGCCCTCACCTGAACTTGACCATGCTGGCACCCGGATCTCAAGCCTCCAGAATGGTGAGAAATACATTTCTGTTGTTTATGAGCAAAAATGAGAACACACCTGTAGTTAGACAAGGTGGGTTTTATTACTCACTGCAGAAAGGGAGAACATCCATCATGGAGAATGATGGAGCATCTCAGTAAAAGGATATTAGAAAGAATGTATTATAGGATTGGGGCTTTGGTTAGGTAATTTAGGGGAGGCTCTAAGGAGGTGGGGTTTGTTCCAGATCAGAGGCTGTAAGAAAGCAGGAGCAATTCTATGACTGGTCATCAATAAATCTTATCTATAGAGAGGAGAGATTAGATAGTGGGTAGAGTTGTAATTGGCTAATAAGTAGCAATCAGTCATCTTGGCCAAGTAAGGAGATATTTGGCATTTTGCAGGTAACACAATGCCTTTGTTGCTGTCTGTGCTTAGACAAAATTATGAAGGGACATTATTTGATCTCATTTTATTATGGTCTTAAGAGTAACCTTGCCTGAAGTTGATGTTCTGTGAGATGATTCATGTCTAACAGGAGAATAACATGGCCTCGCTGTGAGTATAAGTCAAGTTTTTAGATGTCAGCGGCTGTCATTTTTGTTTTTTTCTCAATTCAAAATGCAACAATATTAGACACACACACGCTTTTCTATATGTAATGCTGTGTTTTGAAATCCAGAACAAAAAACAATATGGAGATGGTACTTTAATATAAAGCGAGCAAAATACTGTTGTTTCCATTAATGGTCCATGCTGGGAAAATTCTGTAATTCTTTTTGGCTGATGTAAGGAAGTTAGACTAGGAATACCCCAATAATAGCAGGAAAATACTTCCTCAGAAACGATGTAGTCTCAGACTGGCCACATCTTCCTTCATCCTAAGACAAAAGATAGAAAAGGAATTTCTACTTTATGTTTTATTCATTCACATTTATTTTTTGGCAATCAAATCCCAGCTATCATTCTTACTTTTCTTTTAAATGTGGTGCTTACTTTTTTTTTTAAATATTTATTTATTTATTTGCCCCGGATCTTAGTTGCAGCAGGCATGCTTCCTTAGTTGCAGCTCACGGGCTCTTTAGCTGCAGTTCACCTGCTCCTTAGTTGTGGCTCGCTGGCTGCTTAGCTGTGGCATGCGAACTCTTAGTTGCGGCATGCATATGGGATCTAGTTCCCTGACCAGGGATCAAACCCAGGCACCCTGCACTGGGAGTGCAGAGTCTTAACCACTGTGCTACCAGGGAAGTCCCTGGTGTTTACTTTTAAAAAGACCTTTGTCCTTGGTCTCTCCCTTTCTATCTATTCTTGTTTATATATTTAACAGCTGGTTACAAAAGACCATGATAATGATGATAACTTGTTAAGCAATGTACAGGAAATGGTATTATAAGTAAAGATGAGCTTCAGTTGATGTGTTTCAGCTCTAGAAATATTTTAATGCCACGTGGCCAGTTACAAACTGAAAATAAACCATGAAGACATAGGGGTAGGAATAATGATAAAAGCTGCAGTTAGATTCTGGATTAAAAGTTGGAAAATACAGGGAAAAGTCTAGGAGACACTTAATGAAGGCATTTTAGTAAGTGTCATTTCTGAAAAAAAAAAAAGTAAATAGTGCTTGGATGATAAAGAGAATAGATGTTCAGCTACTGCCCCAAAATAAGCACAAAAATCTCTCTCACAGGCAACACTCCTAATATATGTGATTTTTAACTTAGACAGGATTTTCTTATTTCATTTACATTGCAAAAACAATTTTATTCATTCAGAAAAACTGTTTAAACACTCGTATTCTAAAATCTTGTTCATGTGAGAGATCTCAAGGGTGAGGATTACCTGCAAGCTTTCTCATTGCTTTGTTTTCCTTCTTTTGTGCCTGGCGATAGTAATTTCCTGATTGTTTTTTCCCCTTCTCTTCTGGAGTATATTTAATTCAGATTTGTTTCCACAATAATAATTTATAATCTATTATAAACCTGTCTTGAATTAATATGCATACATGCAGCTCAACAATAATCTGCTTTATGATATACCCGAGATGAAAAGGAAAATAAACAGCATTTGACTGTTGCTGCCCTTCCACGTGTCCTGACAGAGAGGTTCTAGTGTGAAAATAGAGGAAGCTGGCTAATGAGGGAAGAGAAAGCTAGGCTAGTGGTTTGGTTCTACGGCTCTCAAGATGCTTGTCAGTGGAAGGTAAGAGTGAAGACACTATTGCTGGGGTTCTCAAACTTCATTGTGCATCAAAATGACCAGAGGGTGTGTTAAAACATCAGTTGCTGAGCTGATGTTTCCTTAAAGTTCCTGTTTCCTTAGGTCTCAGGTAGGGCTGGAGAAATTGCAATTCCAGTGAATTCCCAGGTGATGCTGATACTGCTGATACAGGAACCACATTTTATTATATTTTAAAAATTTGTTTTATTGAAGTATAGTTGATTTACAATGTTGTGTTAATTTCTTCTGTGCAACAAAGTGATTCAGTTTTATATATATATATGGATATATACATATATATATATTCTTTTTCATATTCTTTTCCATTATGGTTTATCATAGGATACTGAATATAGTTACCCTGTGCTATACAGTAGGACCTTGTTGTTTATCCATTCTATATAAAACAGCGGTTTGGATCTGCTAATCCCAAACTCCCAATCCATCCCTCCCTTATCCTCCCTACCCCTTGGGAACCATAAGTCTGTTCTCTATGTCTGTGAGTCTGTTTCTGTTTCACAGATAAGTTCCTTTGTGTCGTATTTTAGATTCCACATATAAGTGATATCATATGGTATTTGTCTTTTTCTGACTTCCTTCACTTAGTATGATCATCTCTAGGTCCATCCATGTTGCTGCAAATGGCATTATTTCATTCCTTTTTATGGCTAATATTCCATTTTATATATTATATGTATCACATCTTCTTTATCCATTCTCTGTCGATGGACATTTAGGTGGCTTCCATGTCTTGGCTATGGTGAATAGTGCTGCTATGAACATCGGGGTGCATGTATCTTTTTGAATTACACTTTTGTCTGGATATATGCCCAGGAGTGGGATTGCTGGATCATATGGCAGTTCTATTTTTAGTTTTTTGAGCAACCTCCATACTTCTTTCCATAGCGGCTGCACCAATATACTTTCCCACCAACAGTGTAGGAGGGAGGAACCACATTTTAAAAAACCTTGACTCTTGCTGATAAATTTCTATCTGTTGAACCCCCAGCTGTGTGGGTTATAGGTTCCTCCCTTCCCATCTAGCCTTTCAACATGCTGAGATAAGTTGGGGGTGACCTAATCTCACTTCCCCTCTTGTTGCTAGCTTCTGTTTCCTGGACCTCTTGTCTAGAGCCTGGGGCTTGGCGTCTTCTTAGGCTGGATCCTGACTAGTTTGGCAGGTTCTTTGCTCATGTCCCTGACCCTTTGTTTCTCTAGTATCTTAGCCTGGACTCTGGACCCTTGAAGCATCTTCTCTTGGCCTTCCCTCCAGCCTGCCTCCCACACCCACGTGGCTTACAGTGCCTGCCAGCCTTTGTCTGTCTGCATCAGCCATTCTTGGCCTGCCATGTCCTGTTATCACCTAAGTCCCTTGTGAAGCTTACCACCTACAGAACTCTGATTTCACTCAGTTCTATTGCTGTGATGACCGTAATGAATTAGAGTTCCCTTGGGAATTCGAAGGACACAGCACTGTGTGATTTGATTGAGTTTGAAAGCAGGAGTATGTGGTTGTTAGCTGTTGTCATCATAGCTAATAGGACAATGAGAAATTGATGATATGAATAATAATTGACTTCAGTTATAGAAAGGCATACTTAACATTGTACATAGTCAATACATACTTAGAAATTGTGTTCGTTTTCTCTTGCTGTGCGGTAAATTACCACAAACTTAGTGTCTTCAAGTAACACCCATTTATTAGCTGACAGTTCTGTCTGTCAGGAGTCTGGAAAGCATAGCTAGTCCACTGCTGGGAGCTGCACAGAGTTGAAATCAAAGTGTCAACTGGCTGAATTCTCCTCTGGAGACTTGACCAAGGAAGAACCTGCTTCCAAGTTCATATGGGTCATTGACGGAAGTCAGTTCCTTGTGGTTATAGGACAGGGGTCCTCCTTTTGTCAGCCAGGGACCACTCTCCATTCCCAGAGGCCACTTGCATTCCTCTTCACAGGCTCTCTTTTTTTTTTAACATCCTTATTGGAATATAATTGCTTTACATTGTTGTGTTATCTTCTGCTATATAACAAAGTGAATCAGCTACACGTATACATATATCCCCACATCCCCTCCCTCTCACCCTCCCTATCCCACCCCTCTAGGTGGTCACCAAGCACCGAGCTGATCTCCCTGTGCTATGCGGCTGCTTCCCACTAGCTATTTTACATTTGGTAGTGTATGTATGTCAATGCCACTGTCTCACTTCACCCCAGCTTACCCTTCCCCCTCCCCATGTCTTCAGGTCCACTCTCTACGTCTGCGTCTTTATTCCTGTCCTACCCCTAGGTTCTTCAGAACTTTTTTTTTTTTTTTAGATTCCATATATATGTGTTAGCATACGGTATTTGTCTTTCTCTTTCTGACTTACTTCGCTCTGTATGACAGACTCTAGGTCCATCCACCTCACTACAAATAACTCAATTTCGTTTCTTTTTATGGCTGAGTAATATTCCATTGTATGTATGTGCCACATCTTCTTTATCCATTCATTTGTCAGTGGACACTTAGGTTGCTTCCATATCCTGGCTATTGTAAGTAGAGCTGCAGTGAACATTGTGGTACATGACTCTTTGAATTATGGTTTTCTCTGGGTATAGGCTCAGTAGTGGGACTGCTGGGTCATACGGTAATTCTATTTTTAGTTTTTGGAGGAACCTCTATACTGTTCTCCATAGTGGCTGTATCAATTTACATTCCCACCAACAGTGCAAGAGGGTTCCCTTTTCTCTACAGCCTCTCCAGCATTTGTTGTTTGTAGATTTTCTGATGATGCCTATTCTAAGAGGTGTGAGGTGATACCTCATTGTAGTTTTGA